TTGGTCTTGCACTTTTCAAGGCCAAGGCCGCCTAACTGTTGCAAGACCAAGACCAGGGCAGGTAAAAAAAATCGATTTTTTAAATAAAAATTAAGGCAAAATAGTTATTAATACCCAACAATTTTAGTTACTATATGTTAATAATTGGTATAACCAATATACTTTTCCATTATACTCTTCTAATTTATCATTCGGGCTTAGTTAGGTTTCTCCTATCTAAACAATTACAGTAATATCTCTATTGTAATAAGCTAATAAATAACTACAAGAATGTTGCGAGACTCATGCGCAAGACCAAGACCATGATAAAGACTGATTTTGCAAGACCAAGACTCGTCTCGGTCTCGCATTTGGGCAACATTACATATGACATACAAAGGGTTTTGAAGATATAACTGAAGAATTTAAAATAAATGAAGATTTAATCATAGTGTTGTTTTTTTTTTTATGTAAAGCGCGTTAGACAACATAACAAAGGATCCTCATTTCGATCAAATTCGAAACGTTACTAAAACTTTATGCGCAATTTAAAATCCCACAGTATTTTCATATAAAGGCCGCCGGCAACATATTATATCGATTAAATTCTAAAAGTTACAAAAACTTGATGAGCAATTTAAAATCCCACAATCTTTTCATGAAAGCGTCCCCAATAAAAGTTATAGTGGATCCCTTATACTCCCGAATTACATAGATTGCAATGTGGAGAGTCTGCCACTCCTATTCTACGCAGGTGCTTCCTAAGGTAGTCGTGGCCTGTTATCATCCGGAACTCTGTCACGGCCTCCTTTCTCGGCAGGTTCATGGGAACTCGATCCGCTTCATTAAACAAATGTCTCCATTGCTTTTCCGGAATACAGCTCTTGACGGAATCCAGTAATAGAGCCTCACTGGCCTTATTTGTTTCTTTTTGGCTCTCTGATATGATATTTCATTTTCTGACTGGTTCAATGTTGATCCCTGCTTGGGGAGTTTATCAGCCATTTCGTTTCCATGGAGACTATTTTTAGAGATGGAGACAGATTTTTAGCAAATGGTCCAATTAAAATAAATACACTATATGGTGGTAAAACCACTTAATTGAGAAGAGATTTCAGACAAATATTATCGGTTTTTTCCACACAGGACATGCTCTACTTTGAAAATTCTACAAGTAGTTGGAATCAATTTAATTCATTTCATCATGTTACTTTATCGAAAAATATGTTGACTATACCCAAAAAAAAATAGAATTTGTTCAATTTTTTAATAAACTCAGAAATGGTGAATTAAGAAATAATCCTTAGTTCAGTTAGATACTACATAATTGCCACTGAAAATTATTTGAAATATTGATAACATAATTAATGATATTTATGGTAATAGTCCTGAAACTATATTGTCTGAACAAATTCTTGAAACAATTATTTTATCTCCAATAAATGATGATTGTTATTCCGTGGTACAGACCTCTTTTTATCAAATTATTAACATCCGTCTAAAACTTCGTAAATTGCTTCATCTCATCGTAACCTACAAATATTTTACTTACGAAAATTCTCGGAATTGGGTCGTTTTCAATCGGGAGATCGGCAAACGGCGACTTTAGTCTTTAGTACTTCATTAAATAGACCACTGACTTGCTTTCCACTTGAATCATAAGATAATATGATCACAAAGTAAAAAAAAAAAGTGACCTACTAAAACATTGGTCCGTTTGGCGTGACTTCAGCCCCCAAAATGTAAAAATAACGAGGTCATATAGGGCAAACGGTACAATATTTTTGTAGGCCACTTTTTTTTCGATTTTGTGAACATATTATTTTGCCATTTAAATGGAAAGCAAATGGGAATTCATGAGTTTTTAATATTTAATTAAATAGACAAAGTTTGCCAACCTCCAGATTAAAAACATCCCAATTCCGAGAATTTTTGCAAATAAAATATTCACGAAGTTTTAGGCGGATGTTAATAATTTGATAAAAAGGGGTCTGTGCTGCGGACTACGTGGTTTATTTTATGACGATATATTTAAACTTATTCAAAAGAAAAACAATACTATAGCTTTAATAAAATTAGATCTGATCAAAATTACTTAAATCTCAATGATTATCCCGCTGAATTTTTAAATTCATTCAATGTAAGCGGAATGCCATCTCATAAATTAAACTTAGAACTCAATTATATAATAATGCACATTCGTAACTTAAATGCTGCACAAGCTTTAGTTAATGGGACACGAATGAGAGTGAAATGTACCACAAAATGATTGCAGTACTAACAGGAATTAAATAATTTAACATTTTCTGCGATAATACTTCCATTTCCATTTCAAAGAACGCAGTTCCCAGTAATACTTGCATTTACTACGCCCATAAACAGATATAAAGGTTAATTTTGTGATCAAATTGGTGTATTATTACTAAGCCCAATGTTTTCGCTTGGACAGTAATGTGTTGCTCCAAGTTGAGTTCGTTCATTTGGGAGTCTGAAATTGTATATTCCTATTGACTAAGTTCAAGACAACTTACTTAATAATAGTAGATTTTTTAATAGCTCTATATGTGGGCATATTAGCCAATACACCAGTAATAGAATTTTTACCAAGGATATAATTTACAGAGAAGTTTTACGTAAAAATTGATTTAAAATGAATTGAATTTATTTTTTATTTAGTCAATATGGTACTGAACTGTTTTGTATTGAAAGTACATATAAAAAAGTATATATTCTCAGATATACAATGAGCCACTATGAAAATGAACATATAAGTGTAGAAAAAAAATGTAAACATTACATACGTGTATATAACATAGCAATAACAATGTTATATTTGTGAATATTGGGATAGCACATAATAAGAAAACTTTGAAATTAAGAAGTCATTTATAAAATTGAGTATAAAACATTAAATAGAAAAGCAAACTGATAAAATCTTTAAAACAAACATTTGAATTTTTTACATACTTGTGTATAACATAGCAAAAAAATGTTATATATGTACGTATTGGGATAGCACAAAGAGAACGTTGAAATTAAGAAGTCATTTTTAGAAATGAGTATAAAACATTAAATAGAAAAGCAAACTGATAAAATCTTTAAAACAAACATTTGAATTTTTTACATACGTGTGTATAACATAGCAAAAAAATGTTATATATGTACATATTGGGATAGCACAAAGAAAACGTTGAAACTAAGAAGTAATTTTTAGAAATGAGTATAAAACATTAAATAGAAAAACAAACTGATAAAATCTTTAAGTAAAAGAAACAGAAAAACCTGTCTAAAGAAAATTGTATTTAGGTTTTGATTCTAAGAATATTATTGTACCTGCGGTTTTTGAAAGAACTTCAGCGGATGTCCCGATCTGGCAAGTAACGTTGGCATTTTTGAATGGAAGTCATAGATTCAGAAAATATTAACTTTTTTTGTTAAAAATATAAACTTCCCTATTGTCTTTAGCTCTTTAGGCTCCATGTATTTTGAGTATTCGATTTTTATAAGGTTCTCAATTATTGAATCTAGTTCAATGCCTTGATCATCTGTAGACACATTTCAACTATTGAGATGCAGCCAATTACAATGACGTAATCCTGTGAATAAAAATCTCCTTCATAATTAGAAAAAGGGTAAGAAAAAGAATGGACTTGGTTTAAATCGTATTAGAACAAATACACCCTTAGAAAAGAGAAGAAACAAAACTTAAGCTGTCCTTTGTCGAGAAGGCTTTATACCCATTTTCGTACATGGATGGTCATAATCATAATTAACGATTACGATTATTTAATTATTTACATGATTACGATTACAGTGATGTTGATTCCGTGATAAGAGTGATCAGGTTTCCGATTACGATTGTGATCCGGCAATCGTGTCACACTTTTGCTATATTTATAGTGCTATTGAATCAAATATAACTTAAGTTTTATATTCAGTTTTAATAATGTAATCATTGATTCCCATCTCTATTTTTGGTTAATTATTCTTGCACTCGTTCCCTAAAAAATTGGTTTCAAATGCATTGTTTTCGTATGCTCTCGTACCAGTACATTTAAAATTGTTCTTTAAAGGGGTCCTTATCTAGGTTTTTACTGTAAAAGGAAATACGTCTGAACACTGACAAGAATCAGGTATATAAAAGGTCTACGAGAACAAGAATAAACTAAGTTGAAGAGGAAATTGCTAAATGCAAGTTATTTTTCGGTTGCAAAATTGCTTTGCTCGTACCTTTTGTTTTCACGATTAAATAATAGAATTTACAAAACTATTATACTTCATGCGGTTCTTACGGATGCTAATGTCGCCACTTATATTAATGAAACATATTTATATTTTAGAAAATAACGTATTGCGTAGATATTTGGATGGGACAAGGAAAATTTAGACAGCTTCACAACGCCAAATGAAATGAGCGACAGTTTTTTTTTTTCTTTAGTAAGGAACGAATCACTGAAAGTCCAATAAACCACGAATCGACTGAAAAACTTACTAGGAATTGCTTAAGACAAAGATGGTTAGTAATGGGTTAAAAGGCTGATCTTGCCCAGTTACGTTAAGACGACCATCATGGATGGAAGTATGTAGATTACGATTGATTGTATCCAACTTTCGGGTTTGCTAAGCCTTTAATAACTATTGATAATTTTAAAAATAATTTTAAGTAATAGAGTAACCGGTTCTAAAATAGCATCATTATTTCAAAAAATGATTTTAAAAATTTCAAAAAATTGTTTCTTCCAGTCATCAGTATTTTTGTAGCAACTATTATTATTTAACGAGAATCATTACAAGTTAATTAACATCTTAAATAATATATTGACTAATACATTTTTTTGTAAATTGTTGATGAATTCCAATAGATCTGAAAAGTCTATTGATTTAGCCCTAGATAAAATTTGTAAAAATTATCTTTTGTACACGGTTACCAGTATGGATTACTTAAGATACTACTCATAATCAAAATAAGATATTATTCAACCATTTTTATCTTTAACCCTTGACATAGAACCCACTAGGGGGTCACAGTCAGTCAGTTAGTTAGTTAGGTCTAAAATGTACCGTTTCAGAAATTTGCTAGCTTCTTCTGTTTTAAAAAATAAGCATGGCTTTCGGTTTAAATCTTATATTAGCCTTACAAGTTCAAAAGCAGAATTTCCCATGCGTCACATAGGTCCACGTGAGGAAGATCAAACAACTATGTTAGACTTTTTGGGTTTTAAAGTATGTTTTACTTAATCACTTCCATTTATTAGAACAATATTACATATTTTATTATTATTAATATTAAAGTTATAATATATTTTCCTTTATCATAAAATCAGTAATGTAGTAATTGTTAAGTATTTTATAGTATAAATTTACTAAAAGATATATACTTTTTTTTTAAACTTTTAGAAAAGAAGAAAGTATAAAATATAATATGTAATAATATTTACATAATTCTCATTATATCATGTAAAGTATATATTACATAATGATATTATATGGTATATTTTATATAGTATAATTATATTTTATATTAAAATATAGAATTATTTCTGTATAAAAAAGTACTTTTTAATTTTTTTTTCTTGATAAAGTCATTAGATGAATTAAGTAACAAAGCTGTACCTGAAAAAATAAGACTGAAAAAGCTGATGGAAATGGATGAACCAATCAGTAAGCTAAAACTTTTTTTACACTATTTATTTATTGAATATTACAACATTCTGTCACTTGGACATTGGTTATAGTGAGGTGGGATCACATTCACAGTATACGTACAAAAAAATATAAAATAAATAGAAGCAAAATAATTAACAATGAATAGTAATCAATAAGTATATACAATAAATAAAATAACTTAAAAATAAGGAAATTAAAAAAGCAAAAAACACATACATACATATACAGTACTATAGAGCTAATTCTCACTCACTTCACCTATATATTTATCTAATATTAAGATATTACATAAAAGATAATAAATTCCTTAAGAGAAGGAATTAATTGTTAGGATAAATTAAAACATATTTTTGTTTGCTATAGAAGTTGATTTTGTCCATTTATTTTTTTCTTTATCTTTATCTTTATCTTTCTTACAATCATTCATTGCAATGCAAGTCTTGTACTGACTCAAGGTGGGTTACCAAAAATTTTAATGTCTAACTCATAACACTTATTTAGTCACTTTACATTGATTAATATTGCGAAGGTCAAGATTCATTCCATGGAATCCCCACAAAATGAATTTCAACCTGCCAAGGATGAATTAAAATTGGCACTGATAGATTCAAGGTTGCTGAGGCAACACCTAAACGTTCCTGGACATTATTGTGAATTGGGTACTCTTCCTTTTTTAATTTTTCTTTTCCCTACTACCTGGCTAGTTTGGCAGATATATGGACATTACCCTCAAGGAGACCAACATATCCTAATTAGAGGGAGGTCAAGATTAATTCCATGGAGTTGTAGCAAAATAAGTTTCAGCCTGCCAAGGTCAGATGCGAACTAGCACTCGGTGTCACTAAGATGGCACGTTAACATTTTCGGCCACCATTGCTCATCTGGTGCTCTTTCTTTATTTTTATTTTCACTCCTACGCGACTATTCCTGACATACATGGGCGTTATCCATTCCAACTAGACACAAGATTGCTAGTTGCTAAGGTGACACCTTCACATTCTTGGTCATTATGGCCTATCTGATGTTATTCCATGTTTTTTTTTTGTTTTTTTAATAAATATGCAATTCACAGTTGTGTAGAAAAATGAGTTACATAACTCTGTAGACCCAAAATATTTTTCCAACATTTAAGGAAACCACTACAATTCATGGTGAAAGGATCATGCTTCCAGATTTCTTAGTTTGCATTAATCCTGATCTGAATCATCTATATGCAAAATTATAAGATGTAAAATTAACAGAGGCAAGGTAGGCCAGATAATAGTAGAAACCATGGTCCATCCACAGTATCTAAATTGGACATTTATCCATATGTGTGTGTTTGTATGTGAAGCAATATGGCACCCATCATCATCTTCTGAAAAATACATTAATCTAAAGAGAATCAATTTGACAAGGCTGGCTTCGGACAGAGAAGTTAAATGTTCACTCATTTCATTTTAGAGAAAAGTAGTAGTACGTGTTAAAATTTTTGGGAAAGTGAATCCAAGTAAAATGATGGTTACATCGCTTAAATCTTTAAATGAGCATTTAATAATAAAATATCCTAATATGTGAAAATACAAGTTATTTAGATTTTTAATAGATGAATATAATTTTTTACCAGGTGAATATGAATTAATGGAAAAAATAAGAAGTATTGCTTCAAAAAATCAACTTTACCGGACATACATAGGAATGGGATACTATAATACTTGTGTTCCACACACTATTTTAAGGAACATATTCGAAAACCCTGGCTGGTAATAGTTGTATTATGTTATTTTTCTTCTCTTAATTTTAAATTCTTATATTAATCCACTTATATAATTTTGTACGATATAATTATATAACTTTTATTGCTAAATTTCTTCTTCTGGAACAATAAGGTGCCTTTGGTTTCTAAATTGTTCAAATTATATCTTGAAAATGGAGGTAACTTGCTCCCGTAAATATGCCCTCAATTTGCTTATCTACTACTACTTATCTATTTTTTTTTTTCAACATCTTTGGAATATCCTTGCAAAATTGTATACATAATATAATAGCAATATCAATTTTTTTTTAATTTACATTGAAAAATATTAACTCAGAGTAAACTAGGGGCTTTTTCATGTATACACTAAGGAAGATCAGGTATTAATTTCAGACTTTTTTTACTCCTTTAAGTAAATAATATGGATTACCACAAAAGGTACAAAAATGATGCAAAGTAAACCTACTTTAATGGAAATCTCCACAAACATATTAAAAAGGATGCTTGAAATTTCATAAGCTGAAATAATAAAATTTCTGAATTTATTGGAAGACCAAAAGAATTAGTTTTAAATAAAAAATACAAGACAATAAATAGACCACATTACCAAAATCAGCTTTGTGAGTTATCAGGATATAAAAGAACTGTGTCTCATGAAAAAGTGCGAGTCTTGGCAAGATGGATACCTCTTAATCTCCTGCCAGAACTTGATATGAAATTTATAGTGAAGAAAGAAGATTTAGAAGGTTTAGCAGGTAGTATAAAGTGAAGATTGACAAGAACTGAGGACAACAGCAAATAGGAAAAAAAAATCAGTAACAACCACAATAGCACCTATGGTGCACGGTGTTTTGGCTGCTGGAACCTTAACTGCTGATGAGCTTAAAGATTCATTAATGATTTATATAAGACTTTCCTTATTTATATAAGAAGAAATACTTCACTGACTTAATTGATTGTCTTATCAGTGGCAAACCATATAAGAGTTCCTTAAACAGACTCACACCATTTTTGGACAAGGATAGAGCTCTCAGGGTGGGAGGTAGATTAAAGTATTCTACAATTGCTGAGAATAGTAAACACCCACTGCTGATACCTAAAGATTCACATTTAGCAGTCCTATTGTGTGACCATTACCACAGATATTCCTTACATAGTGGGCCACTAATGGTCCAGTCGCCCATTCATCGCCAATTTTGGATCCCTTCTCTGAGAAGTTTCGTTAGAAGCCAGATATATAAATGTGTTATATGCCACAAAAATACCGACTCCAAAAATGAATGATTTAACCTTCTTTCGGGGTGACTGAGGGTCGATCCTTTCAGAGATCTGGAATAGACAATGACAGCCCCATTGTAATGAAGATTTCCAATAATGCTCCTAAGTCAAAATGTTGGTTAATTCATTCCATATACATGTCTATCAAGGCCATGCATCTAGAACTTGTGACAACTATCCACACCTATATTTATTGCCACACTAGACAGAACCACAATAGTACCTACCCTAGCAGGTACCCAGGTGGGTTAAGTTTATAAATATGGTTTTTAAATATTGAGGTAATCAATGTGAAATTATGTCTTGGTTAAATATGAAAAATGAGTTTTTTAAAGAATATATTTTAACAATAGAAATATAAATAACAGAACTAATTATTATTAAAGGACCACACAATATACTCCATACCAACCAGAAGTTGCTCAAGGTCGTCTTGAAAGCCTCCTCAATTTCCAAACTATGATAACCGATCTTACTGGACTTCATGTAGCCAATGCAAGTCTCTTAGATGAAGGCACAGCTGCAGCTGAAGGTCTTAGTCTGTGTTACCGGTAAGTCAATTTTTATTCATTTATTTTTAACACTACTCAAGTGGGTCATTAGCAGCTTTCAACTCAATCTATTTGTTTGTATGAGATTGGGGTTGAAGTAATTCACATTGAATATTAATACTACAAGTTTCGGTACACATCTAAAAGATACACTACAAAGGTAGGGACAGATTAATAAATTTTCCTATGAAAACTGTTTGTCTTACAAATACTAGTGCCTTTCCATCATGGCAAGGTAGAAAATAAATGGTCCCAATAAGTGATAGTGATATATTTTTGTTGTACTTAGAATTTAGTGATTTTTTTAACACATAATCTGAAAATCTCTATTTCTAACAATTATGAAATCTCAATTAATGTTAAAAATAATAATTATTTGGTACTAAATCATAAGTCTGCAAATTAATGGATAATCAATCAGGTTCTTAATATTGTTTGTTACAATTGAATCGGAACAGTCTAAAATCTAAATCATTTGATACTTCTACACCATCTTGCCATCCAGTATTTGCATACTTGATTAATATAATTTTTTTATATTTTAATTATTATAATCAATCTTATTTCTTTATTGTAAACATACTATCTAGTGTAAGATCGACTCTCAGGTCATTATGTCTAGCTAAAGTGGCTCTATCAATCTCACAGGTGTCAGCATTTCATGGCGTCCTTGCTTTATCAGAACTCAGTACCCATCCTACATACAACAGAACCTGCAATTTAAATCATCCATCAAATCCCGATCTCATCCCTCTGACTTCTACCCTTCTCCCCACTGAATTGCTGTGTTTGACAAATCCTTTCTAGCTCGAGTTATCTCCTTCTCGAACTTTGTTCCTCCATATATCATCCACCATACTTCAACGGTTTCCTATTTTCAATTTCTTCTATTCAATCACCTATTCCTTGTCCAGTCTAATTAATATTATTTTATACTAAATTACTTTTATTATTATCATAATCTTTTTCATTTGTTTATTTATTTATTTTTTTGGTGTAGTTTTGTTGTTTTAATGATTGTATCACTTTTCTTATCCTTTACGCTTTCTTTTCACTTATTTTTTATTTATATTAACGAGTATGACCACAGTGTTTTGGCCACTCTGTACTGTTATGTTAATTTTATTCTTAAGGGACATTGCCCTAGAATAATAAAGTTATTTTTCATTTCTATCTGACTGACATTATATTATAGGCATAATAAAAGAAAAACACTTTTTGTCGGTGACAAAGTTCACCCACAAACTTTGGGGGTGGTTGAAACAAGAGCTGAATCTCTAGGTCTTAAAGTAGTAGTTTTACCACCAGCCAAGATGGATTTTAGTAACCATGATGTCTCTGGTGTTTTACTTCAGTATCCTGACACAGAAGGAAACCTTGAAGATTATTCAGAAGTCCTCGCGAAAGCTCATGAGCATGGTGTAAGTAATTCTATTATTCAAAACAAAACAAATTATTATTATCAAAATATAAAACGTTTATGTTTTAATGAAAGGATTAAGTCACATTTAGACTAATTCACTCACATTCTGGCCAACTATTCAATAAATAATTTTCAGAATATTTTTTGAATTATTAGCAATACTTCTATACACTCTATAAACTCTTAGGTCAATGAAATTTTTTTTTTATGTGTGTTGATATTAAATGAAATAACTTGCAAAAACCCTTTCAATAAAATATTTAAAATATTTTTAAGACCTTAGGAGTCGTAGCAGCAGATTTACTAAGTCTCTGTATTGCAATGGCACCTGCTGAAATGGGAGCGGACATTGCTGTAGGTTCAACCCAAAGATTTGGTCTCCCATTGGGTTATGGAGGACCTCATGCTGGATTTTTCGCAGCCAAAGAATCACTAGTACGCCTGATGCCTGGAAGAATGATAGGTGTGACTAGGTAACCATATTTTGAACTATTTATAATAAACCAGCATTGTGATAGAACACTGAAATATCCCTCTGTCATTGAATGGATAGGTTCGCTAACTTAGATTTAAATAAATTTACTTCAGGTATACAGAAAAGAATCTTTGCAAGCATTAATATTAAATGCTTAGTTTAATTATCTTTCCTTAGTGCATATATGTACATGAACATAAATATATATGTTTACATAAACTGTATATGTTTTCAAGAATACTTGAGTAGACCTGGGTAGAATTTATTTGAAATAATATTTCCGAAATAAATCGCTAAACCTTCCCCAGTTATTTTGGAAATAATTTATTTCATGAAATAATTTTAGCATTATTTCATGAAATAATTTTAGCATTATTTCTGAAATAAATTTTTCCAGAATTAATGACATAATTATTTCTGAAATGATTATTTCCGAAATTATGTTCTGAAATAATCATTCTGATAGATGCAAAAGGAAATTAAATAACCATTGTAAAAATCCTATTGTTCAATCTAAATTTGGTTTTCGTTTATGCCCCTGTTTTGTTTTTTACAATTAGATGTACTTGAGACATTATATTTCCTGCTGTTTGAGACAATTTAATCTTTGTAGAGGCTGAGTGTACCCAAATGAAATTTCATTTTTTCTTATGTTTCCTTTTATTCCCAGCAATTAGACGGACTTGAGCCATTATATTTACTGCTGTTTGAGAAACTTTAATCTTTGTTGAGACTGAGTGTGCCCAAAAGAAATTTCATTTTTCTTATGACTCCTTTTCTTTTTTATAATTAGACAGAATTGAGGCATTATATTTACTGCTGTTTAAGACATTTTAATATTTGTAGAGGCTGGGTGTGCCTGATTACAATTAGGCGGACTTGAGGCATTATATTTTTTGCTGTTTGAGACCATTTAACGTTTGTAGGGGCTAAGTATGCCTGAAATTTTTTCTTTTGTTTCTCTACTCATCTCAAGACTCAAATCTGACAAACTACAAAAAAAAAATCGAAACAGTAATTGGGTAAACTCAGCCTCTAAAAACATTTAAGTGTCTCAAATAGCAGTAAATATAATTCCTCAAGTCCGTCTAATTGTAAAAACGAAAGGAGGCATAAGAAAAATGAAATTTCATTCGGTCACACTCTGCATCTACAAAGATTAAAGTGTCTCAAACAAGCAGTAAATATAATTCCTCGCGTCCATCTAATTGTAAAAAATGAAATAGTGCATTAAAAAAATGAAATTGTTGTCGGGCACGCACAACCTTTACAAAAGTTAATGTGCTCAAACAGGAGTAAATATAATGCCTCAAGTACATCTAACTGTAAAACATGAAAAGGGGCATTAAAAAAAAAAAGAAAATGAAAAATGGCTGTCGGAAACATTCAGCCTCTACAAAGGATAAAGTGTCACAAACAGGGGAAAATATATTGAGTAAATATAATATTAATGTGGTGAGGCACACTCAGCCCTTTTGAGCTAGATACCTGTAGATAAAGTGTGAAATATGCATGCTATAATCATTATTACAAGCAGATTAGAGGTTGTTCGGGTAAGGTTATACTATATATTTGTTATATTGGTGGATTTTTTTATGTTATTTCAATACAGAGTTATTTCATGTTTTTTTTTTGTAATAATTTATTTATGAAATAAGTAAATCTGAAATAACTCATTTCGAAATAAATTACTTTATTTCAACGAATGTTAAAATATTGAAATAATTATTTCAGAAATAAATTTAGTAGATATTTCATTGGCAATTCGAAATATTATTTCAGAAATAACCATTACTTCAGAAATAATCATATGATTTATTTCAGAAATATATCTTCTTATTTTTCTTTTTTTATTAGAAAGCCTACGTTTATAATTTTTTCATATTTAAGGCAATAAAACTTCCAATTTTCTTCATATTTTCTTAATTATATTTGTTGTCTCTTACGTTTCGGGACAATTTTCCCATCATCAGGGCAATCTTTATCTTTACTTTCTTTTTTTGATGTGGCACCATTTGTCATAAATTAAAGAAGAGAAGAATAGTTGGGGTGGTTAGTCAAAAAAGGAAGGCAAAAATAAATTATAATATTTATTTTTACATAAACCGACGTTTCGACCTGAAGTTCAGGCCTTCATCAGGGCTAAGAAAATAACCAGATAACAAGGTATGAGAAACATAAGTAGTGATGGTAAAAAAAATATATATATAAAAAAAGTAAAAAATAAAAAAAATAAAATAATAAAAAATAAAATAAATAAATATAAAGTAAAATGAAATTATTAGAATAACGCTGGAAGCGTAAATAGGTACGAGAGATATATTACTCAGAAAAATTATGGAAAATTGAACAAAAGTTAATAGAAAGTGGATGAAAAATTCAAAAGAAAAATAACTGTTGAGTAATAAGGGAGAATAATTGAAATAAAAAAAAAATATATATATATACATACACACCCTTATACATATACACATACACACATACATACATACACACACACACACATATATATATACAAGGAAGTTGTCAGCAAAAAGGAAAGGAATATAAATATGGATGTTTTAATAAATTCAGAATTTGGGAGTAGGCTAAAGAAAAGTTCTGTTTGTCAGTTTTTAGATTCACTGTCTTCGGTTGAAGCTGGATGTGGAGGGTTTCAAAAATGAGTCATTTGTCATGGTTGAGAACTGTGGCAAGGATGGATGTTTTGTCGAAATCAAATGAATGAATGAGAGAGAATGTTCGGATAATTTGGAGGCGGTAAAATTACGAGAGGATACAGAATATTTATGTTGGGTTATGCAGTCTTTTAGGAGAAGAGGATGAAGGCCTGAACTTCAGGTCGAAACGTCGGCATATGTAAAAATAAATATTATAATTTATTTTTGCCTTCCTTTTTTGACTGACCACCCCAACTATTCTTCTCTTTATTATCCACGACAGTCAACCAATTACCAATTATTTGTCAAAAATTAAATATTTGTCACATTTTTAAAAGTATTTTTTGGTGTTTCATATAGTTTTAAAAAATATGACAAATATATAATTTTTGACAAATGGTGCCACATCAAAAAAAGAAAGTAAAGATGAAGATTGCTATGATGATGGGAAAATTGTCCCGAAACATAAGAGAAAACAAATATAATTTAAAAAATATGAAGAAAATTGGAAGTTTTATTGCCTTAAATATGAAAAAATTCATAAATATATTATTTCAAGAGTGTCCAGGTCTATACTAAAGTGCATACATTTTAAGGGATGCTGATGGTCAAGCAGCATGTCGTTTGGCCCTTCAAACTCGAGAACAGCACATTCGTCGTGACAAAGCCACCAGTAACATCTGCACTGCTCAAGCTCTCCTAGCTAATATGTCTGCCATGTATGCAGTTTATCATGGTCCAAAAGGACTAAAACAAATCGCTACTAGAGTTCATGAGGCAACATTATTACTAAATGCTGGTAATTACATTTTGTTGGTATTAAATAATTAAGTGTTAGGCATAAATAATAAAGTATGTGGATGAAGTATTTTAACCAATAGTTATTTTGATAAGAATGATGTTTTATGCTTTTGTATTTTATTCTTTCTTATTAAATTAAATAATTTAGGATAATTGCATAATATTGAAGTTCTTGTTTTTTTTTTAGCACTCAAGGAAACAGGTAATGTTGTACATAACCAGCAGTTCTTTGATACACTCAAAGTTACTCCCAAATTATCTCTTGAACAAATTAAAAATAGGTGTCGTCAACTGAAAATTAATGTCCGCTACTTTGAAGATGAAGATGTAAGTATAGTATGCTAAAAGAATACATGATTTTGAAACAATTATTATTTTCATTTTAATAAATTTATTTATTTTCAGTTATCTGTCGTCACTATAAACAATACCTAATACTTTATAAAAATACTCTTAAAAAGTAAAATATTTCACAAAAAAGCAGCTATTTTCTTTGTTAATTTAAGTAGTAATAATTTTAGTTATATACACTTGGCGTTAGGGAAAATTAAATAACTATAATTGTTTGACGAAATAGAAAAAAAGTTTTTAGTCCACATACTCTATCATATTAGCATTAAAAATTAGTATTTTCTATTGTTAAAAATATTTTATAATTAAATGAATGGTTTTAGGTTCAATGTGCGGTACAGAAGTAATTTTTGATGGTCAATGATTGTGCAAAGAGGAGATATGGCCAGAAACATGATCAACTATTTTCTTTCTTTTTTTATGAAATCACATCAAATGAAAATAAAAAGCTTTTATTGAGGTCTCATGCTCCTAGGTAGATTAAAAGCACATTGAACTTAAACTCATCATTCATCCATTTCCTCATCTACAGAAAAGTGTAGAATCTTTACTTGGAGCTTCTATGTTTTCCTGCCAGCCACTATAACAATTGCCTAGTCTCAGATCAGATTTTGCTTTCTAAGGCATCAATATCCAATCGGACATCTTTCAACATAATAATAACCAATCTATTCTAATCAGAGGAAATGTAGAGATTCATTCCATGGATCCACCATGAAATAAATTTCAATCCGCTCAGGCAGATTCAAACTGGTACCTCTAGAGTAGAGGTTGCTAAGGTGGCAACACATTAATACTCTCAGCCATCATAATCTCAAATCAAAATCAAATATCAAGTTATTTCCCCAGATAAAGTGAATCACTTAATAGAGGTCGGGTGTACTCCAGCAGTGTTTCTTGACCCCTGAGTTCAATCCAATTGACCTCAAAACAATAAATAATTATATGTCACAGCCAGACTTGAATCCAGGCCCAGGAAATAAGGACCCGGAATAATACTCATAATAATTAAGATTTAAAAAATTTTATACTACTCAATAATTTTATACAAAATAAGAATTTATCTACTTTAACTGAGCAATCTTCAAACAACTAAAATATTGTACAATGTTAAGTGAATATTATTAACTGATAATGAATATAAAATGAATTCATATTATTCAAATAAATTTCTAGGTAGGAATATCACTTGATGAAACTGTCTCGATAAAAGACTTAAACGATATTTGTTGGATTTTTGGCTACGATGGAGAAATAACAAATGTAAGATTTAAAATAAGAAAAACATTTATTTTTGTATTTAAACAATTTTCATGTTTCAATAGAATACTACTTAAGCTCTATATTTTATTTTATTTTAGTTTGAAGGTCATACATCTTTAGGAAAATATGACATAGCTAACAGCAAACTTAAAAGAACATCAACATACCTCACTCATCCAGTTTTTAACAGTCATCATTCTGAAACAAGGATTGTCAGATACATGAAATCACTGGAAAACAAAGATATTTCATTAGTTCATTCCATGATCCCTCTGGTGAGTATTAATACCCTTTTTACATAATACTAAAACAATTAGTAATTGCCTATTACTACTTTTGATGCCCAAAATGTAAAAGCCTATTTTGTAATTTAGTAGACACCTTACCTAGGTATTGAGATGGTGAGGCTGAGCACGTTAGGGTGCGGATCTCAAAGCGCCTGATTCTGAATGTTAGGGTTCTAAAATTATTTATATCCATCTGGCAGTTTCTCAGCATCCATAAATTTCTGAAATAATGCCATTATTTTGATTAAGCTAAGATGCTTAACTATTTGAGTTTATAACATAAAATAAGTATATGAGAATTCATTTTTTGAAAATATTGTATGTATTAGTCCCCTTTTATTTGATGGCATTTTCACAACTGGTTGTCAAGCAGTCTCAATGGAATATTAAGTGAAAAAATACTCATTTCTTCCTTTTTTAATCTCTGTTGAGACTAATTATCAGTGTAATCACCTTTAAAAATAATTTCAGGGATCTTGTACAATGAAATTGAATTCCACAACAGAAATGATGCCCTGTTCAATGAGAGAATTCAATCAGTTACACCCATTTGTTCCATTAGAACAAGCTGAAGGGTATATGCAATTATTAGACGAACTACACAAAGATCTTTGCACAATCACAGGCTATGACAGGATATCATTTCAACCAAACAGGTAATATAGGCAAGCTGTTTATTATTATACATTATTAGTTATATTATATACTATTTATTGATAAATACTATAGTTATCATTATGAATATTTCATTACCGTGGTGTACTTTCTAGAATTTTTTTCTAATAAATTTACCTAGAAAATGAGTAAATACATTCAATAAATTATTTAAGGATATAGTGTTGTGTATGATAGGTAGATTGTATAATTTATTATTCAAATGATGAAAATTACCCTTCAGTCTCATGTTTATTAGTATCACTTCAAGAAGCTTTCAGTACTTTGCTTCATATTCATCTATGTTAATCTATACCCATCTACCTTGATAGGAGCTCATGATCTTGAACTGGAATGGACGCATAAGATCCTCTCCCTTTCAAAATATATTTTTTAAACAATACAACAAACTATCATTGGAAAGGAAACAAATTCTGAAAACATAATGACATCCAGGTGTAGTCGAAGTATTCAGTCTCCACGTTCTTCCTCCATTCCTATCCTCATCACTTTTGTTTTGCTGGTGTTGATCATCATGGAATTTAACAATTCTTCCTGTAGGATTCTTAGGTTGAATTGAAGGTTTCTTCCACTATTCCAAAAAAACGACTATATCATCACCATAGGGTAGGAGTGTGAGGTAAACTGAAGTTAATTCCCTGTGAGCAAGCCAAAATGGTATTTCTCGTCTTTACCATTTTTAACAACATATTAAAGACCATCATAAATGGTAGTGGGCTAATACTGCCGTCCTGCCTGCGTTCTTGGTACTCTTGAAGTGGTTGTTAGTTCTCACCATATTTCTTTGGAAAATATGATTTGAAATGTTATACAATGTGACAATGTAATTGCTTAATTTTACAAAAAATAAAATAAATATCGCATTATGTGCTACTTGTTTTCAGTGGAGCTCAGGGAGAATATGCAGGTTTACGAGCTATTCAAAGTTACCATGCTTCTCGTGGAGAAGCACATAGAAATGTTTGCCTTATACCTGTGTCAGCCCATGGAACAAATCCAGCCTCTGCCCAAATGTGTGGAATGGATGTGCAACCAGTCCATGTCAACAAGAATGCTACCATTGATTTAGAACGACTTACTGAACAGGTATGGCTTATAAATAACCGCATGTTTCCAAATAAACGTGACCTTGTTAGGGAAGTGGACGGGTAGGCAAAATAAACTTGTGAAAATTACTAACATTCACTACAGGCTATTAGCTGTAATAATTGTAATAATGGTATTAGTGATACCATTCATTTCTTTGAAAGAATGTGTCATTTAACATAAGAACATGCTTTAAAAAGTCTATTGTAACAAAATGGTCTTAAAAATAATATTGTTGTACAACGTAGGCATATTATTAAAAATTTTACATTCAGTCAAAGAATATTTTTTGGAGACGGGGTGACCACATGGGCTAACAGCACTACATTTTGTTTCACAACCAAGTGATAAACTGAATTTTAAAAGTACAAAATAATCATGGGTTTGCATCCCAGTTCCAGGGAAGACTTTTAATTCTGGCATAAATCTTCCGCCCTCACCTCCATATAGCCTACAAGGTAAGGAAGGGAAGGAACAAAAAAAAAAAGTCGAACAATGTTTTATTACAAGCAAATCTACAAAAAATAGAAGTATAAATTTATATTTTTGACTGAATTCCTTTCAAATAACAAATGTATAGCTTATTACACTTCATATATATTTTTTAACTAGAGTGCTACTAATGGGTAGTTTCTCAACATGTATTTTTTGTATAAAGTTGTAAATATCATATATATAAATAAATAAAATAAATATATATATTTTTTTATTTTAGGTAGAAAAGTATAGCCAAAACTTATCTTGTTTAATGATCACATATCCATCCACTTTTGGTGTTTTTGAGGATACGATAGCTGATATATGTGACCTGATCCACAAACATGGTGGACAAGTAAGTATATTTTTATTATATCATGATAAAAAATTTGAATAACTTAAAACAGCAAAGTAGTGACAGACCTTTTTCAAGCTCAGCATTGCTTATGATGTATGAATCTTTATTATAATCTTAATTTCCTTGGATGAATTTTTCTAATCACCCAAACCAAACCAATAAAAAACAAAAAACAAATAAGATGTAAAACATAATAATAACATGTGTCTATTATTCATGAATTGTAAGTAAATAATAGAATAAAGGATGTAAATGCTAATAACAAAAATTTAAGCCATCGCCCAGAAAATGATAAATTTTTTTTTTTAAATCTTCCTGTTTAAATAAAAAAACTTTACATCATAAAATTATTTTTTTTAAGGTATATCTTGATGGAGCAAACATGAATGCTCAAGTTGGGCTATGTTGTCCAGGTCATTATGGTTCAGACGTATCTCATCTTAATCTTCATAAAACCTTCTGTATTCCCCATGGTGGTGGAGGACCAGGAATGGGACCTATTGGAGTGTAAGTTGAGCCATTTTATAGAGTATAATATTATCCATTATCCAGCTGCCACCACTAGGTCTAGAAAAAGTCAAAGGTGGTATAAAAAGGCTAGAAAATGTTTAATGAAGCTATTGAAGTGGGAAGAAAGTAGAAAATAGTTCATGAACATCTACCATAATGGTTTGGGAAAACATTTTCCCAGTAAGGCAAAAGAAACACATAGTGAATGTGTTCATCTCATGGAATACTATTGGATATATGAAGTATCTGTCCTGATGATTGAAAAGAATAAAAATCAAAAGTTTTTTCTCATATATTTATTGCAGAGATGGATAGCATTAGTGAAAAACTGTAAAGACTAAAATGAACCGGAAGAGCAGCCGCAGGAGTAGTGCTCCCAGTAAATTATTAGAACTTGTTAGTTTGAACAATAATGATCCAGGCAGAAAAGATCTTGTTCATTTGTCGTATGATATAATTATGAGAAAAATGCATTTAAATATTCATACTGACGGTTTATTGCAAAAGGTCATTGAGTGCACTTTTGATGGAGTTATTTACATACTCATGAATTTCGATCATATTTATCACAGCAAAACTCATTATGTGCATACAAGTAACAAAAATTCTATTATTTGCTAAAAATAGATACACTAAGTGAACAATGTTTTGGTTTCATAGAGAAAAATATCATCAAATCACATATTGATTAAATTTTATAAATTGTTATTTAATGAATATTTGCAATAAACTGACGATATACTCCCATTGCAGTAAATATTCCATTTTAATTTTTTAAGTAGTTAGTAGTTTTCCTAAATATATTTAATATGTAAATAATAAATATCATAGCTATTATTTCATTTATTTATTTAGTAAACAAATATTTAATTTCTTACAGAAAAGAACATTTAGCACCATTTCTTCCTAACCACCCAGTAGTTGCAACAGGTTCTGACAATATTAAAAGCTTTGGAACTGTAAGTGCAGGTCCATTTGGGTCAGCTGCTATTCTACCCATATCATGGGCATACATAAAGGTGATAAAATTTATGTATTTATCATATTATTATTTATTAGAATTCAAATGATCTTTATTAAAAATTCTAGTCTATTATCATTTTTGTGTCTAATATTCCATGCACTGTTTTTTTTTTATAAAGGCCTTTCCCTCACAAACTAGGAGTCTCCAAACTAAGTGTCCACAAACACCTCCCATTCGACCAAAAGTTTCTTTGGTAACATTGTAAGATTTTAAAATACGAAATTCCATAAATCACCCAAACACAAATGACAACAAATTTTATTGCATGAATAATTTTTTAACTTTTAAGTGCATACTCGAGACAGAGTCGTAAAAAATAAAAGACTACTTTCACTACTGAAGTGTCATTTATAGAATTTTTTTTCACTAGCCGTGGCTTGCAGGACTTAGTGGAGGGGCCAATGTGGCCCATGGGACTAAAAGTTTGAAAACCCCCTCTTTGAAGTTTGAAAAACAATAATAAAACAAAATAGCTTGTTAAATTTTTTGTTTTACAAACATGGATTTTAAAAAAATAATTGATTCTTAAATCACATCCCACTAGATATGATGATTACTATGGATAGAAGCGGAAGAATTTGATTTTTAAAACTATTCTCTAGTCACTTCAATACTCAAAAATTGAAATTATTGACCATGACAGTAGAACATATCATGATAAACATGATGTGTTTATTGTTTTTACACCAAAATCAGACATTTTGTTAGACAAAATAGTGCAACAAATTACTATCCATCATATTAAAACAATTAAATTTAATTTGTAACCATAAAATATATCCTATTTTATAAAATAATGTTTTAGTTATTCCTAAATGATAGTTGATTTTTTTATTATAAGCAATTGTATTATCTGAGTTTTTAGATGATGGGAGCTAAAGGATTAAGAAAAGCAACTCAAGTAGCAATACTCAATGCAAATTACATGAGTAAACGACTTGAAGGACATTACACAACTTTGTTTAGAAGTGAGTCTTCTGGCCTGGTAGCTCATGAATTCATACTTGATGTACGAGAATATAAGAAAACAGCAAATGTTGAGGCAGTGGACATTGCAAAACGTTTAATGGATTTTGGTAAACATACTTTACAATCATGTAAACTTAGTGCAATCATCATGAAAAATTTAAGTTTCTAAAAGGAATGATTAATAAATCAACAAATCACTATCTAATGATAAGTTTAGAAAGGAGTTACATGAGTAAAATATTTATCACTTGTAATTTTTTTATACATTTTAGTGCTTAGTGATTTTACCTCATAATATATTTTAAATATAGCCATATATATTTCCAATAGAATAACTTAGGCTACTACCTTTTTTCATTAACCCTTTCCTTGGTTCTGGTGAATTTCGACCTGGCAGATCCTACATTCTGAACTCACTACAGAATAAGCAAGGCTGGATTTATAATAGCCTTTACGTAGGCTACTTACCTTCTCTTTGATGGATCAGGACAACTACACCAGCCTGAGCTGTGGTCATCGCATTGCTCACCTCCCTCTATCTGTATCCACCTACCTGTAGACCACCGGTTTCTTCAGATAGGGTTCTAAGAAAATTAACTACTGATTCCTAGTCTATCATTTCATTGAAGAATATGCCTGAAACATAATGCTGCTTGAAAAAGGCTTGACTTCTTTAGATAAAAATATGTTTTAAAATATATATATTAATTATTTTCCTCATTCATCTTGTTCCCACAAAAATGAGGTACTTGAAAACAACTACCTCAACTGGGTTGATAAGAAATGGTATGTCTATTCACCTACCTTGGACACTTGATAGGCCCACCCCAACTAACAGATAGACTGAAGTGATAGACACCGCCTCTGTTATCTGTAAATCCTATCGGACTCCCTCGCAGGTTATTTGACCTCGAGCGGGGTTGAACCACTTGGAGTTGACAGAAGACACTGATAGAGCTGGAAATTTATAAGCAGTGGGTAAGACACTAAAGCTTGATCATTCTGCCGGTGTGGTAAAGATTCCTACACCCATCTCCCTCTCTAGTTCTCCTGTTACCCTATCCGTTTAACCCCCTCCACCCATATTTAGTTAAAAATAGAACTATTATGAACAAAAATTTAGTATTTCATTGTTTTTATTAATTTATTATCAATATTTCCTCTTACGAAAATATTTTTGATTAGATTTTATTAAAATTTATTTTAGGTTTCCATGCCCCAACAATGTCTTGGCCTGTAAGTGGTACCCTCATGATAGAACCAACGGAGTCAGAAGACAAAGAAGAACTTGATAGGTTCTGTGAAGCACTTATTTGTAAGTAAATGCTAGATAAATTTACTTTACTTTATAAGAATTATCTTTTCTTCTTCATACTATGAATTCATAGACAAAATTGGCACATTAAATAAAAGTTATTATTTGACAGAAAAGAAGCATATGCTCTGTAAGATTTCAGAGCAAGACTCCTTTGAGAGCTATAAGTAAGATGCCCTTACTGTAAACAGAGCTGCTAAACAAATCATATTTTATTGTATCTTCCTAGCATCTTTGATTATTTATTTGACCATTTCCTCTTCCTAATGTCCTTACATATTGCCCTCCCTAAGTCCAATTTGTTCCTGTATTTGAGTCTTCCCTTTTCACCTACATTCCTTTATACAATAATAACTGGTGACTTCAATACCAATCTGTGCTCTGACTCTCCCATCAAATCATACATTACAGACCTAACCCACTCCCTCAACCATTTTATCACTCTTTTTCAACCCACACACCATAATCAGTTCTCAAGTACATGGTTCGATCTTTTTATAGTATATTCCTCTCAAAACTTATAATATTTTTCTCAGAATCCAATATCCTTACTTCTATGTCATGACCTCTGAAAAAATAAATCCTTTTCTTGAGTAACTATCCCAATCATAAGAACCTATTTATTCCTATATCACAATGCACCTATAAAAACCTATACTTTCAGAGGCTCTACTGCTCCTTGGTTTAATCCTGAAATCAGAGAGCGGATGAAGAGAAGAGACGCTGCTAAGAGGCATATCAGACGAACATGAAACCCGGACAATTATACCTCATTTGAAGATCCTTCGAAATCTTGTCCAATCTTCCTAACACCGAGCTAAGACACATTTCATCCACAATTCCTATCACAATCTCTGGATCCCAAGTCCAGATGTAAAATCCTTAAAAATCTGTCCATAGTAAAATCAAAAACCTGTACTTCTCATCCTGTTTCTCTCGATCAACTGAATTTGCACTTCGAGAATCCTCTCCCTATCCCGTTTTCATCCTCATACTGTATTTCAAAAACTTCTTTTAACTCTGAAAATTTGTATTTCAGAAATATTTCAACAATATTATTTTCATCTGTCCTCAAATCCATAATGGATGGGTATCGTCCGGATCAAACTCCAGTGAAAATAGTTAAACTATCTCTTCCTGTCCTTTAGCATATCTATAATTTTTCCTTACAAAATTCTTGTTTCACATCAGCTTGGAAAAAAGTCACAGTCCGTCTGTTGAGCAAAGTTCCAGTTCCTTCCAAAGTTTACAACTTCAGACCTATCTCCATTCCCTCCAATCTTTGTTGAAATACTAGTCTACTCACATCTTAATACCTTCCTTGAGCAAAAACTTCTCCTTAATCCCCTATAGTCTGGTTTCGGACCCCAGTTTTCCATTCAATCTGGTTTGATGAAAATTACTCAAGACTTTCAATTTCCCATCAACAAACAACAATCTCTGTCCTTGTTCTCTGTGATTTCTCAAAAGTCCTCGATTTAATTAATCATGAAGTCCTCCTTTCCAAACTCCAAAACCTCTCCTTTTTTAATAACGTTTTAAACTAGTTTCATTTCTTTTTAATAGTTATCATTCCCAATAAAACTCCTTCGGCCTCCCTTACTAACTTGTGTCCCTTCGAGATCTTCCCTTTCACCAACCTTTCTCTCCATTTGTAGAAACAATTTCCCTGATTCCATCCATCATTCATAATATCATTTATGTGGTGGTGACCTCCAAATTCAGTCCTTTCATTCTTATACTCTTCCATTATAGGTGTTGGGGTAATTTTTTATCAATACCTGTTGAGATGCTTGAAGCGACTCAAAGGCTTCAAGAAGATATAGTTGGTTTATTGCAAAAAGTCAGAAAGTGCGTTTTTAATATAGATTAACTTTCAAAAATGTTTTTATGAATATGGACTTTATTTATCGATACAAAAATACTGCAAGGGCATAAAAATGAAACAAATGATTTTATACATTGAATCATGTTACAACAAGCACAATTTTCTGATTTCATAAAGGAAAAATTGTTCAAAGTTCTTAATTTCATTTAATGACTTTTGGCTATAAACCGATGATATAGACAACATCGATGTATGGGCAGTTAGTAATTCTTTGAGGCTGAATGTTGAGAAAACCAAGCCAATCTCATTGAGTTGAAGCATCTTCTTAATTCTATTTGTTACTAGCATCTAATCTCCCTTAATGGCCTACCTATTTGCTTCCACTCTTCCGTTAAAAGCCTGGGGGTAAATTTAGATCAATACCTGTATTGAAATAACCATATTTCCCGAATTATTTGAAAATCTGTTCCGCAAACAGTTCTTGAGATTCTATTACCCTTAAAAACCCATCAGCTCCTAGTTTCTTCTCATATTTTTCCCTACTTCGATTATGGTTGCCTTGTATACGTTGGCCTGTCTGGTGGGCATGAAATTAGATTGAAGAGACTAATCGTATCATATATGTTTACTTATACTAGTCATTTATTTGTTTATTTAATGTTAAGTAACTTTATAATCTAATTGTTATTTATCTGGCATTATGTGTCAAACGAACCTTAACGTACTTGTCCATTGTTGTACTAGCAGACTAAATGTCCCAGAATAAAATTACTTTTCTTCTTCTTTTTCATCTAAACATCTGAGTTTTAACAATTAAAACATTATTTCTAGGTATAAAAGAAGAAATTAATGAAATTGAAAATGGAAAAATGGACAAACGCATAAATCCTTTAAAATTTGCCCCACATACTCAAAAACAAATCATAACCGAAGACTGGAACAGACCATACACTAGAGAGCAAGCAGCATTTCCAGCAGTAAGTATAAGAGACTATTAATTTCTAATACACACACATATACATATATATATATATATATATATATATATATATATATATATATATATATATATATATATATATATATATATATATAAACAAATTTAGGAATATGAATTATAATTTTATTCTATCCTGCTAGCCATCAATAAGGATCATATTTCCTCTCAAAGTGTTACAAAACATATCACATTTAATATTTCCTGTTGTCACAGCTAATTCTGTTTCCGGAAGTATATACATTTTCATTATAGTTTTGCTAAGTGAAAGGAGACAATTTCTCATATATAAATAATCATTAATATAACAACAAATCCTGTTTGGCACCTCATCAAAACAACCATTATTAAACTTAAATAACAAAAAGATATATTACATTATTTTACCAGAATTACACTTATGTCTTTAAATATTATTTCTCAAAGATGTTTTACTTGAAAGTGTTTTTTTTAATCTTGATACATTATTAAATCTAATGATTGAGATATCATTTAGAAGATAAACTTAAAAAAAAAAACCGAGAAATAAGTACATCCCCAGAAAAAATTGAAAAAAAGTTATGAATAAAAGAAAAATTTACTGTCAAAAAGTACATAATTCATGGTGGATTTTACCCCTAAAATTTTATAAATTCCCTACCAAACCTACAAAAATCGGATGTGTATTTCTGTAGACTACTGTCCCGAATTGTCTCTCAAGATTTGGAACGCCCCGGTAAAAAGCAGAAAGTAGATTTGGTGAGTCCACTCACAGGAGTGTAAGTGTACTCACAAATATCTTCCTAACCCTTAGAATAAAATTCTGGTACAATATATTTTTTACTCGTATAAGATTTTTTTACTTTTTTTGATATTTTTAAAAATTTAATTAACCTTATAATTAGCATTTACAATGTGCCATATGTATATCCATATATCCAATATCCATTTGTTTCTGATTATTTGAAAAATTAAAGAAAGTGAATTTGTTTCTATGAGAAGCAGCTCAACATCATGCTCCCTTTACAAATCATTTCTAAAACGAGTTATTTTGTCAAGATGCTATTTCTTTCTTAATACTTTATCAAATCCAAGATTGTGCTATAGCACATCGAAGATAAACTTCTCTACCGAGAAATAGCAAGTAAAAAGTTATAAACAAAACTTCATGGGTACATATCTAAACAAAGTCTGGTTCAGTTTTGCATACATTTCGATTTGTTGTAAAATGTAATAGGGTTGCATTAACCCTAAAGTTACATAGTTGTCTGTATATTCAATACTCTTACATTTTGTTCAGTTAAAACTTGTTAGCTACTCCTGTACAAGCATCTTACCATAATATTGTACATCAGTTCAGCTTTCAGGCATTTTTAAACTGTCATTTGATAAATCTACAAAGAGGCATCTTTTTGAGGTTGATAAAACTTTTCTTATCAACGTTTTACTTGCATAATTTTCTCACACTATCAAACTAACGTGTTAATATTTTTTATTTATTCTGATTTTACATAAGCCCAATATGCACATAAAAAAAACAAGTTTCTTAAATCTTGTGTAGATCTAATACGATTTTAATATTATTTTATCTACTTTCAGGCCTTTGTCAAAGCAGAGACCAAAATCTGGCCAAGTATAGGAAGAATTGATGACATTTATGGAGATAGGCATTTAGTTTGTACATGCCCACCAATATTACCTGATTTTTAAAATAAACATTTTATATATAAAGATAGTTTCCTTAATTCCATATTCTAATTACTTTTAAATAACAACCTAGATTGTATATTAAGATGTCAGGCTGGAACATATGGTTTACTGCAAGAAAATACAGTTTCAACTAGTGATGAAAATGAGATTGGTCAAGTATTCTACAAAAAACAACAAAAGAATAAAACTATTAATTTATTTATTTTGAAAAGGGCAGCTTTTATTGACCACCAGTGGGACATATTGTCACATAAGTTCAAACTTATAAACAGAGAATGATAAATTTTGAAGTTCATGCACTGAGCGCTTGTAAAGGTTTGTAACATAATGCTAATTGCCAAATCACAAACCTTGAAAGGATTCTTAATTTTCTTTGTGCTTTTCATAGATTTTAAATCTATAATAAGTGGACATTTTTCAAACCAGGTTCACCAAAACGTTTGATGATAGAAAATTTAAAGTTGTACATTCTGGGATGTGTTGAACAGTGTTGCCACTGTCAAAAATAAATCTTCGTTTCTTAATCCTTCTACCCTTGCATAGTAAGATGAAACGTTCGATTCTATAGACATGGATTTTCATCCAAATATTACCTTTGATATATCGTTTTATATAATGCACATAGTAAAAAAAATCTACAATATATTTTAGTATTAACTATAAAATGTTATACTAACACAATATATTAATACAACTAAAATGAAAAACTAATATTATAGTTTTTGCTAACACACGATAAATTATAAAAACAATAGTTCAAATATTAATATCTAAATTGGGCCATGCTTAGAGAGATAAATGTTTTGAGAATTACATACGCATAATATATTAGGACAATTTTTTGAAGTCCTAATATAAATATTTGTGATTTTTGAAAATTTGTTAACATGAAAAATTTAAATTCGAAAATAAATTAGCTAATAAGACTGGTCAGTATCGGATCTAGAATTTAATGTTGGGAGGCTTCAACCCGAAAGCTTTCCCAAAACTTATCGATGTGTGTATGCACAGCCGGATCTACAGGGGGGCTTTCAGGCTGTAGCCACCCTCCTCTCCCACTCCCCCAAAAAAATGGTAAAATATAACCATATTTTACAGAAAAAATATTAAAAACTATCTCTCAAAGTATTCTTGTTCATGTAATTACATTTAATAGAACTTCAAGAACAACTTAAACACCATTTTATTTAGGTAGTTCATATCTTTATTTTTTTAAATAATTAATTATCTTTATATACATATGAAAAATAAAGCTTTCGGACGGAAGCCCCCAAAAATAAATCCTAGATCCGCTAGTGTATGTCCGTACTTATTATAGAATATTTAAAAGGTAAGATCAATGGCATTATAATTGAGTAGCGATAACTAATTTTGTGCAATAGAAATCAGTCTCCTGCTTTTGAACAAATTTATTAAAATCCTTTGAAAACAGATTATGATGTACTTCAAAGCCCAAAGAACATGTTTTTAAACATTTTAAGGTCATAATACAAATTTCGAATTTTATTCAATGTCGGGAGTTTTCCTTTACTTGTCCCTCTGTACTATGTTCTTTGAAAATCGAACTGCTATTACAAAATACTCTGTATTTTATTTTGGAAAATTATATAAGAGCTTTTCTTATTAGCTCAAGTCGTATATTTTAAAATCTTTTTTATTATTTTATTTTTTTTAATGGGTCAAGAAGGAAAATTAGTTTAGTTTAAGTAAAAGATTTATACTTCTCTAAATCTTCATTTTTATGTTATTTAAATGTGTATAAACTAATAATTTGCATAGTTTCTAGCATAACTAATAATATGCATAGTTTCGGAGTCATGGCCAAAACAAAAGTGTGAAAATTTCGCTGTTTTTCCAAATATTATCTTGGAAAGAAATAGAAATTTTCGTTTAGGAACTTCAAATTCAGATTCAGCATCCTTAAAAAACAAATAGATGCAAAGAAACTTTTTTGAATTTTGTCATCATCTTCTACTACCTTTTGACCTGTGTTTATTGATACAATTTGATGACTTTGTCGCCGTCAGTTTTCAAAAGGCAACCAAATACATCGTCATTGAAGGTGAATTCTCTTTTAGGGACACAATCTTAACATCATATCATTTCAATCGCCAGTTCTTCCGTTAAACGAAACGTCAAATTTTGACACTTTAATTTAAATTTTCGTTTGGATAGCTAACGTCTCTCAACTGACATACCGAAGTTGAGTATTCAGATGAGGATTATTTACTATTTAAAATGGATATTAGAAGTAAGACCTTCAGTTAACTGAAATGGTCGAAAGCTCCTAATCTATGACAGAACTTCGCACCTCTTCCAATACCCAATAATCTATAAATTCCAGAATTGTCGTACGAACCACAATATTGATGTTTTACTAACACACTTTTTTCTTTCTTTTTTTTTTTTTTTTGCTGTTCCTGCATTACTAAGGCTATAATTTTATAGTAAATCAAAAAAGTTCTTGGGGAGGGGAGAGAGTTTGAATAGCTATTTTTTATTAAATCGCTTTCCATTTTACACGATAAAAACCGATTCAAAAGAGAATCTATCATAATTTATAAATTTAAAAAATACATTAGAAATGATTAACCTTGTTTTTAATTTATCAATCGTTTCCCATCTCCCACGCTCCTTATCTTGAAGCGAATTTCTGAAAAAAGATATTTTTTCTTATCTTATATAAAACCGTCTGTTGTAGCTTCGCCTAATGTGGTTTCCGCTACATTAAATCTCCCAGTAATCGTAATCGGAGTATTGTTTTTTTCTGTGAGTGCGTAACAGGTTTGGTTTAATCTTATCATTACTCATGCATTGTCTTTGGTGATGGGCAACTTATCGATGATGAATAATTCGTTATTAAGTACTACAATATAAAGGCGAGTAAAATTGGATTGATTATGTTAGTACCTTTGGTGGAAGTAAACTTTGGAAATAAAACTGTATTTTCGGTTTATTTGAAATCAAAAAAAGAGTATGCATATTTTTCATGATTCTTGCACATAATATTACGTTAAATAACAGCATTAAAAAAAGAGGAAGATTTTAATTTTTGTTTTCAGTTATTGACTTATAACTCCGATATGGTACTTTTTAGTAAAAATCTTTTTATTTTTAGAAATAAATAAACATTAAATATCGAGTCGAATACGTATCTAACATCGTAAATTTGTGCCACATATATGGTCGAAATGAACAGTCATAAATCGACAATTTTAAGCTACTTGGTCATGGCAACCAATGTACTGGCTACTGTATGAAATTGGATAATTGGTAAGAATCATTTTTGAAGCAATATTGTTATATTACAATTTTGGTCCTAACGATGTTCGTTTTTTTTTCATCTCGTATGGGTTACTTCCCTTGGGAGGATAAGAGGACTACAACAGCAGAGATCTTTTAAAAATATCGAGAAAGTTATAGCTCATAGCTCTCCTTCTGTTTAGTGCATTTGTAAAAGATTTTATACAAATCTTTTACAAAGAAAATGATATGAAAGGACTGTATAGGATATAGGATATTTTTAAAAGATTTTTTAACGGATCTAAAAGGAAACGAGCTTTTCCCGAAAGACAATTAGATATTAGCACAATCCAAAGTGTGGACTTCTAAAGTTTTTATATGGACTTCTCTATAACCTGCCTTAAAGTGAATACAGTCCCAATTTTCAACTTCTCTTCCAATGTGCAACTTGAGTTTCTCAATCCACATCGCTCTGGCAATCGACAATATTTCTTATTCCAGCTTCTACGATTCTTGGGTATAATTTCTTTGGTACACTAAACAGGAATGGATCTTGGTGGGTATTACATTTCCTAGTATGTCCTTTCTTGTAAAAGTAAATACCACAGTCCTTTCATATCATTTTCTTTGTAAAAGATTTGTATAAAATCTTTTACAATTACACTAAACAGAAGGAGAGCTATGAGCTATAACTTTCTCGATATACCTCTCTATATCCTGCTTCAAAGTAAAGATAGTTCCGATGAGCACCTTCAACAATCGAAAATAAAGTGGTTTTCAAAATAATAAAATTACATCGTCCACTTAATATCATCCAAACTGAAATTGACCCCCTTTTAGCAGCATCTTGAAATATTCTGTTCATCTGTCTACTATACATTCATTTAGCTATATAATGGATCCTTTTTATAATGGGTCCTTTTTATCTTTTTCCGAGGTTTTGGCACTTCCTTTCTCGTTCTCTTACTGTAGTTTTCCAATTTTCTGGTTCAATTTCGCGTTTTTCCTCATTTTGAAACCAAAAACAAACAATCAGTTCTGGTTTATAGAAGAACTTATAGCGTCACCCTTTCTATCTTCATTTGTGCATAGAGAATAATTCATTAAATATTAAAATTTCCTATTTATTTATGATATAGCCCAACTTCTGCACAAAATAAAGGAAATAAAAATTAATTTTTTAATTAGTGATATATGAGTTTTACTAAACAACCCGGTAGCTATTTATTATATATAGTTCAGATTAGGTTATATTATTTTAGTCTATGAAACAGGTATTAATATGACTCATTTCCTGGAAAGTATATAAAAATTTTAATTACCTCTAAAAATCAGTAAATATACAAAACACAGTGTTAAATTGCAAACGTTAAATAAAAAAAAATCAAGATATTTAGCAAAGTATTTTTTAATTAATTTTTATTGTTATCATTACATAATTTTTACAATTGAGGTCTTCTTAAACGACCTACTTATAGAATAAAGGATGTCAAATTAAAAAAAAAAAAAATTTTTTTTGAAATTTTATTTTTTTTTTTTTTACGATTAAATTATTGCATTAATATTTGTTCGTTAATAAAACCAATATAATGCACCAAAAATGTTACTGTATCACTATAACTAAGCCATTTATGTGTACTGAATGGTATGGTAGAGGCCTGTAGGCACCCACACCAGTACCGCTTTTCTGCCACATAAGTATATTTTCTACGGAACCGTTTAAAGTTTTTTAAAAAATAATCAGCGTTTTAGAAAGACAAATATATTCTCCAGAT